TTTTGCCCTTTTCCTGCAGTGTGTTTCAGTTTCTTAATTTGTATACTTCAAATACCTAAAAGCACTTAGATCAGTGTCTGGGACTCAAACAGTCATGGTTGTCATTTTTATTTAAAGGATGTACATATTTGAAATGCTTTTGCTATTGATTACATTTTTCTCTTGAAAAGTTACATGAATTTGCATTCCTGTCAGCAAAACATGAAAGTAACATTTTACCAGCTCTGGCCAACAGCTGCTGTTATAATTGTAAAATGTGATTATTTTTGCGGGTTTGGGCCTAATTTTATAGGAGCAATAAATGTTTGTCTTAATCTCCAATTTTTGATTATTGATTATGGATGTTTGTGTTTTGGCCATTTTCATATGGAGTAATTATATTTAAATGCTCTTTATTCAAATTTTAATTAGCCCAATGTATTTTATGTTGCCTTTATTTTTTCTAGTTGGCTGTTTGCCTGTTAATTTGATTTTAAGTTGTTTTATGTATTAATGTTTTGTCTTTATGGAACATATGTGTCAAGGCAGTTCTTTTCCATGTACTTTGCTTTTTTAAAAAAATTCATTGATCTATTTTTGATAATATATTATTTGTGATGGTATAAATAAATCTATAATTCATTTATTAATTACTTTCTCTTTGCCAGTATAGATCTCACTTTTGAAAAATATAATTTTTATTGCAGAATAATTTTAGATTTATGGAAAAGTTGCAAAGATGGCTCAGTGTTCTGAGCCATATGTTCTTTACTCAGTTTCCCCTGTTGCTGACATCTTGCATTAACATGATACATTTGTCACAACTAAGATACCAACATTAGTACACTACTCTTAACTAAATGCCACATTTTATTTGGATTTCAGTAGTTTTCCCACAAATATTCTTTCTGTGATCCAAGATCCCATATTACATTTAGTTGTCATGTTCATTCTCTCCTCTGGTCTGTGACAGTTGCTCAAACTTTCCTTGTTTTTTATTATATTTAGAGTTTGGATGATTACTATTCATGTGTTTGATTGAACCTTCCTCTGATGTTTTCCTGCTGGTTAGACTGGGGTTGTTTGTATCAATATGGATTCATGGATATTTTACTGCTCAAATTTTTTTAGCATTGGCTGGTGAGTCTCTGTGACCCTTTGACGTGATCCATACTGCCCCCTTCCTTTGCCTTTTTTAAAAAACACTTCTTTCTTTTTGGTGTCAGGTGCTCCAGGTTTGTCTTCTGTATTCCCTTACCCAGCTCTAGAATCAGCCGTTTCTCCAACTACTCCTGTTTTCTTTTATTGGAGAATGGTATATAGAAACAAATATCAGGTACTGGATATGCTTTTGGGTACCGGTATGTGACTGCCTGTAGTCCACCTCAGTGGACAGAATTAGAAAATACTGTTTGTGCACACACACCCCTACAATGATTTCTTTATCTATTTATATCTGTATTATGGTAAATATAAGTTTGCACTGCTGTCTCTGATTCTAATCCAGTACCTCTGTCCCCTTGCTTAAGTGTAACGTCCCTCTCCAAAAGGGAGAAACCTGACTGTCACATCTGCCAGCCATTTGCTTATTTGTTTAATCTAATATGTATGTAACATGTTTCAGAATTAACTCATATTCCTTGTGAAAAACAACTTTACCAAATCAAGCAGTGTTTATGTAAAGCTCTGCTTACCTTTAGCCTTACAGTTTCCGTGAAATCACAATCTTCTAAAGTTACTTATATCCGTTCCTTTTCCACTCACAGTTCTGCTTTTGATGGTATGCTTAAAAGCCCGTCTTATTCCAAAAATTGACTTTATATAGTGTAAAATATACATACATTATGTTCTATGTGGTGCATTTGTGGTATATGTAATAAATATATAATATAGCAGTATGATTGCATGCAATATAATATGTATGCTACATATAATATGTATATGTGATTTTATTTATTTCTATGTATTTTGCTTTATTTTTGTTTTAAATTCTTTTTTTTTTTTTTTAAAGACAGAGTCTTACTCTGTTACCCAGGCTGGAGTTGCTGTTCACAGGCATGATCCATCATAGCGCACTGTGGCCTTGAACTCCTGGCCTCAAGTCATTTTCCAAGTAGCTGAGGTTATAGGCATGTGCTGCTGCACCCAGCTATTTTTACCTTAAATTCTTAAATATATTTCTCTAAGGTTTATTTTGTCACTTAGTGTAAAGTATTAATAGAACTTTCTATTTTAAAGAAAAGTTGCCTTATGGAAAATCTTGATTTTTCTCTGTTGTTGGAAATGCCACCTTTGTCATATTTTAAAATCTTACACATACTAGAAGCTTTCTCTGCTTTTTTTACTCTTTTGTTTTCTGTTCTTATTCAAGTTCCAAACATTACATAACTTTGTGATAATTTCAGCATCTGGTAGATTATTCCTGTTTTGCCTGTTCATGTTTACTTAAATTTTTTAATACTTTTCTTTATTCCAGGAACATTTTAGTGGATAAACCAAATGACCAATCTTCAAGATGGTCTTCAGAAAGCAACTATCCTCCCCAGGTAAGATTACATGCATTCGCTAATGCTGTTTAGAAGTCAACATTTAAATAAACACTCAATTGATGTTAGTTATCTCAAATCTAATAGTTTATTCTCTTTTTAAGATTGCGAGGTAGATTTTTATTGTCTTTATTTTTGCTTACTAAATTTTGGAAGAATTTTTATTTCACAGGCAAATGCAGTGTGGCATTTGATGAAACATGGACTTTTACTTCTGTCTACCAGAATAGTTACACTCAAGTTATTCTGTAAATGTTTAAGAAAATGTTAATAAATCAAACTTTGACTCAATGTCTTATGGGGAAAATGAACTTAAATAGTTTGTTATTTTATTTAAATATTATTATATTTAATATTAAAAATGATATTAAAAATGGCACCAGGACAATGTGCTAAATTTCTTTTCTCTGGCAAGTAGGGTCTAGGGTTGACTAAATTTAAAATCATTCTTTCAGTTATATGCTTTCAGCATTAATGTTTATAATGTACTAGGCACACATATATCCATATTCTTGAAGAAATTAATGCCCTGCTAGGTAAAGCAGATGGGTAAATAATACTTAATTTTTAATTGTAGTATAATTCATGGAAATCTAGTCTCTCTTTCTTTCTCTCTCTCTCTGTCTCTCTATATGTGTGTATATATATGTGTGTATATTTTTCTGTTTGCCTACCAATTTGGATCACCTGGTGTTTACATGCTTTATTGCAAAATACATGTCTAAATAATATATATTTATAATTTTTATATATAATGTAAAGAATAAAACAACCTGTTTATTCATCAGCCATGTTTAGAAATGGTAAGTAAATACTACCTTTTGAAGCCTCCTATGAGCCCCCTCTTACATCTTCCCTCTAACCCCTCCCTAGTAACTATAACTCATGTTTTATTAAGCATTTTAAAATAATACCACATAGGTATAACATATACATATTTTATGATTTAGTTTTTTTGGCTTTGACTTTATACAAACAAAATATAAATTGATTCAATCATTTATAAATTTTCTGTGACTTGCTTTTTTTAACATTATGGTGTTCATTAATGTTGTTATATATAATTGTAGTTTGTTCATTTTCACTACCATATAATATTCCTATGTATAAATATGCCAAAATTTATCCATTTTGCTGTTGATAGGCGTTTAGGTTTTTTACAATTTTTTGCTATTATGAAACAAGCTGCTGTGAACATTCTTGTATGTTGTCTTCTGGTACACATGTGTAAGAATTTCTTTAAGGTGTATATGCTTTGGAGTAGAATTGCTGAATCATAGGGTGGGTATATGAATATTGAAGTTTATCAGGAAATGGTAAACTGTTTTACAAAGTAGTTGTAGAATTTATCCACTTGCCGTGTATGGAAGCTGCTGTTGCATCATGTTCTCCTCATCGCGTCTATGGGTGATTTTTATATGTTGTCAGTTTAGTGCATTTTTCATTTTAACTCATTGTGGTTTTAATTTGCTTTTTCCTTTTTACATTAAAATCTCTTTGCCATATTAATGGACATACATTGTGTTTTTAATCACGCTTTTTGATTCACTTTTTAATTTTACTTATTAATAGTTTTAGTGCTCAAGTTTTAGTATGTTTGTGATTTTCATTTGGTTATTTTTATTTTTTATTCATGAATTATCTTTTTTTCTAAAAAAAAAATTCAGTCATCATAACTGAAACAATGATAACCTTGTTATTTTGAAATTGTCTGTGTTTGTTATTGTACTTTATTTTGAAGGCAGTAGAATTTAATGTGTTTCTTAACTTTCTGGTTTGCTCATTCATTTATTGAAAAATTACTTAGTAAGCATCTATGGAGTGCCAAACTTTGGTATTTGGAATACAGTAGTGAATTAAATTTTGTCTCCTCTTGATGAGCCAAGGGTATTGAGTCAGTTACCCTGAAACATTTCAGTGTGATTAGTCCTACAGTAGAAGTTACCTGAAGCTTTTGTAACGAAGAAGGACTAATTTGTCATGGAAATAAATACCATGCAATCTAGTTTTCATCATTCTAGTTACTACTGAAATATAACTGGGATTTACTGTGGCCAGTCTCAAGGAATAACATTTTTACCAGAAAAAAAAATAAAATTGAAGGCAGATTTCAGTGTTGACTTAGTTTGAAACTGCCATGTTGGATGGAATGGGTATAGTTTCGTTTCATTTCGTTTCTTTTCTTAGGCAGAGTTTCGCTCTTGTCACCCAAGCTGGAGTGCAGTGGCGCGATCTTGGCTCACTGCAGCCTCCACCTCCTGGGCTCAAGTGATTCTCCTGCCTCAGCCTCCTGAGTAGTTGGGATGATAAGCATGCACCACCAGACCCAGCTAACTTTTGTATTTTTTGTAGAGACAGGGTTTCATCATGTTGGCCAGGCTGGTCTTGAATTCCTGACTTCAGGTGATTGGCCCACTTCAGCCACCCAAAGTGCTAGGCTTACAGGTATGAGCTGTAGCGCCTAGCCAGCATGGGTATAGTTTTCACGTATAGATATGTAGCAAAGAGTCTTGCACTTCTAGTGGTCGTAAGCTATAATATTTCTTTCCCACTCTTGATCTGAAAGTTACTAATCAGACTGAATAAAAAATAGGTATATCCACGGCTGGATGTGGTGGCTCATGCCTATAATCCTAGCACTTGGGGGAGGCCAAGATGGGTGGATCATTTGTGTTCAGAAGTTTGAGACCAGTCTGGGTGACAAGGGAAACCCTGTCTCTACAAAAAATATAAAAATTAGTCTGGCATGGTGGCATGTGCCTGTAGTCCCAGATACTCAGGAGGCTGAGTTTGGAGGATTGCTTGAGCCCAGGAGATCAAGGCTGCAGTGAGCCAAGATCATGCCACTGCACTTCACCCAGGGCGACAGAGTGATACCCCATCTTAAAAGAAAAATACACACACACACACACGTACACATACATACATACACACACACACATAAGCACACACACAAATGAAGGCTGAGCTTTTTTTTTTTAAGCTGGGATCTTAAAGTAATTCATTCTCAGGATAAGAATGAAACAGAAGAATCCCACCTCCTGGGGGCTTTTGGAAAGAATTGCAGTGACAGTCAGTAGAGGAGGGGAAAATGAAGAAGAAAACATCCCTGAGAGGTAATAGCTGTGTATTGGTTTTTGTTCACATTTGGTACTCAAAGTCTCAATACTTGACTATCCATGAAACCATGTGGTCTGATTTTAGTTTAAAGTGATTGTGGATGAATAGTACATTTAAGGTTCTCAGCAGAAGCAAATGCAGATCTTCTCTGAAAATAGTTAACCTTTATTTCTAGGCCTCAGGCATTCTCCACAAATCATTATTAAAGGAAATTGAGCACTATACACTCAAAGATAACTAAGTATAACAGAAAGTAAGATACTTTAAGAACTAGCAGAAACAGTAGACAGCAGAACCTCCTCCAGAATTTTAGATACTAGAATTAAGATTACTGAAAGATACAGGAATTAAGTCAACTACTTACCATATTTAAAAAAATAAATTGGACACTTAAAAGTGATGTGGCAGATTTGAAAAAGAACCAAATAAAACTTCTGTAAGTGAAAAATATAGTAATAAAAGTCAGTTTTGACAAGGCTTTCCACTAAGCACAGGTAGAAAAGATGAAATAGAAGTGAAATTAAAAAAAATACTTTTGAAGATAGTGTATTGAAAATAAGGTAGTGAAGAGTGACGAGAATGAATAAGACCTACTATTTGATAGCACAAAAGGCTGACTTCAGTCAATAATAACTATTATATTTTTAAATAACATAAGGAGTATAATTGGATTGTTTGTAACTCAAAGGATAAATGTTTGAGGTTACAGGTACCCCATTCTCCATGATGTGCTTATTTTACATTGCATCCCTGTATCAAAACATCTCATGTACCCCATACATATATACACCTACTGTGTGCCCACAAAACTTTTTTTCAAAAGTGATAGGGCCAAGATTCAGCAGACTATGGGAATCCAAAAAGAACTACTTTGGAGCCACTTTTCTACTGAATATCTTAAAGAAGTTCTAAGACATTAAGAAGCCAAATAGCACCTTTGACAAACCCTTGGGGCCAGGTAGATACAGATTAGAAGCTAGAACCAGGGGTGTGGTAGGGTGATAGACTCCGCTTGCTCTGGGTTGAGACCTTCAAGCTATGTCTGTAGGGTCGGTGTAAACTACAAATAGCCTGGCCCTCACAGGGAGTAAAACCAAGTTTCATATCATCTGAGTACTTGAAACTGGATTAAAATAATCGAGAATTGATAGTATCCCTAGCAATAGGCCTGCAGTAGAAGATACACTTTTTTAGGAAGCTGATATCCAAGCATCTAGTTACTTTTAGTTTTTCTTATTTGGTGTCTATCAAAATAGAAGGATTTACAGATAATGACAGTTTTGGATACAAGTCTTAAAATAAGTGCCTTGCTATGTGAAAGGAAAAAGGAGATGAAAGTTAATATTGAAAATTTTGGCAAAGAACTGGAAACTACATAAAAAAGGAGCAAAATAAAAATGAAAAATACAATACCCAGAATGCAAATTGCACTTACGAGAATAAAATAAGAATGCATACAAAAGCATTTTCTGAAATTCAGTATACTTTATGTAAAGTAGCAGTATTATTATAGGCAGGTATTGGTAACAAAATAATTGTTGCCAGTAATATAATATTACAGATAGAATAACACTTTTAAATTTATTCTAATAATAAGCTGTTACATGACCTGCTTGCTTCAAATAACTTGAGGATACCCATGCTATATAAATTAGTTTTATTTAGTTTTGAATAAGGAAAAACCTTATTTCACTGAATGTTGATGTCTTTTAAATTCTTCCCATGATCATACAGTGATTGTAAGGATTAGGATACATGTAGTAGCTACTTTGCAGGGCTAGCTATGGCAGGTATTTTGGTTTCATATACAGTTGATTCTGGTTATTCACAGTAGTTATGTCCTATAAAGTAGTCATGAACAGTGATTTCACAAATACTGA